GTTATCCCTAAACAAGCCAAATGCACATCGGTACACGTACATACATAAAGGAAAACTTACGATGCTCACATATACTAAATTAAATGAAACTCAATTTATTTTACTTATACATATATTCCCTACAGATATTAACATTAAATCAAGGCAAATTGCGGAGAAAAGGATTTCCGGCGCTGCAGTGGCAACTGCGCCAGTACTGAGCGCCAAGACCGGCAATGGATTTTTTATTGTGTTAACATGCGCGCTGGGATTTTCGGCGGATTTGCAAATTTAATATAAAATTAGTTATTTAACAGAGAAAGGAAAATAAAGGCGATGAAGATAAATAAGTTGAAAAGAACTAACAAAAAAACATGGACAACATTGGCGTATTTGCGATACATTAAAGGACACAATACGGTAAAGACATAGATGTGAAAGAAGAAGTATTTCGAGAAGAAAGAAATATGAGAAATTGTACCGATGTTGCTGGAAATGATAATGTCATGATGAATAATAAGCCAGTCAAAACGTTCTTAGGCTGTATATAATCTACTGCACATTCATTTTAGTTACACAAATGCGACTATAAATATTTTTTTCATGATTACGAGCAAAATAATATTTCACTTTCTGCTCTGATAGAGATTTTTGTTAAGTTTTTAATTAAAAAAAAAGATAAAAGTTAAAATTTAAAGATACTTGGATCTGATTGTATATTTTGTGTGTTCAACGTTAAATGCATGCCTCGTTGAATTTGGCACATATTAGCATTTGCAATTAGTGTGCTCGCAATCATCGTCTTTGGTAATAAATTCCAGTAAAGAGTATATTTCAAGCTAAGAATTTGTTAAGCATTTAATTCATTGCCAAGGCAACTGTATATTTGCAGCACTTATAACTAGATAATTGCCTTCACTTGCATTTGCGTAAATCACACGATACGATACGATGCGATACCATACGTATTTCTAGATACTTCCAACTCATGCGATACGAGTATAGTTTACTTATTCTCATATATTTATTTGCACATTAGTACTTGCCTTAAGTAGTGTTGATTCATAGCGAATAACGTAATTATTTGCATAGATACTGAAGTGCTAAGTTCAAGTATTTTGGCGTCGACTGAAAATTTTTGCAATGCCTTGCAGCTAAGCACCGAGATAAAGCAAAAGCACTGCATGCATTCGGCGTACGTTCATTCAGGCTTTGCATGTCTAGATACTGCCATTGATATTTTTTTTAGAGTTTCCCAGTATTGCAACAAAGTAAATCAATAATATTATATACATACTTATATATATATACATATACGTAATAAAAGTATATTGATATTTTGAAACAATTTTATTAATATTATTACTTTACTATACTCTACTACTTTAATTATCATTGCTATAGATTTGTTAATTTTAAAGCAAAATATTTATTTTTATATGGGAAATGAAGCTGATTATTGACTCAACTTAGTTGCAACACCGTGTGAAATTGTTTATATTAAACGAAATGATGAAATCCTAAAAATATTTACTAATTACAAATTTCAATTTATGGGTCATTTCAAAGTTGTTGGAAGCATATTTTTAGAAAACCGTGAATAATGAGATAATGATTGAATTAAAATTGTATTGTGGTAGCAATTATTTCAAAAAAAAAAAAAAAAAAAAAAAAAAAAAAAATGAAACAAATATAAACTGGAAGATTGAAGATGTTTGAAATATATATACAGGACATTTTTCCATTTTTTCCCAAAAAACGAAAGCGATCATATGGGAGCAAAATTATTTGAAAAAGGTTTTGTAAGTTTTTTGTGGAGATTTTTCTTTGCTGCCTTGGAAATAGTTTATAATGAACTCCTCCTCTCCAATACGATTTCTTCAAGAATTATTTTGCATTTTTGGGATATAGTTAGGGGACAGCCTTTTTGTCTTATATTACTATTCTTCTTTTTAATCACGGTTGCCACTTATGGTACTTTAGTACCAAAATTGGTACTTTTTTTTCGTTTGGTACTCATGTTAAAAAAATGGTACATTTTTGACGACCCAACTTTATAGTGGATATTTCCAATTAATTGTTTTTATAAATGCAACTTTGCACTATTTTATATTTTGTTCATTTATAACACTATGAAAAACACAAAACGAAAAAATAAAAAGGTCCAAAAAAATTTTGGACCTTTTTTTACAGAAATGGTACCTTGGTCTAACCGCCATTTGTCTACAGGATAAATTTTCAGCCTATAGTGGCAACCGTGTTTTTAATACAAGTTATCATTTAACGTCACTTATGACGGAGGTGACAATAATATTTAATAATAGTTGGTTAAAAAACGCTGACTCTGAGCCTCAAATTTGGCAGCGCAAGAGTTCAATTCTTGATACTTGCGTATAATTTCAAACACAAAATATGGTAGTTCCAAGACCACTTACTGACTATAAGTATTTGGCAATACTCGAAACAGCTGTATGATCAGCCAAAAATTTAATTAAATATTATAAAATATTTAATATTATAAAAGAAATTATTGTTTTTGTAGTTCACTACTTTTGGAAACCTCTCCAAAAGTAAGCACATTCAAATGCGTTGTTTTGGGCAGAAAGTGTTCGGTATTTATCTTATTCGTTAAACATTGAGCTACACACAATTCAGAGTTAGTTATATCCGAAAATCTTTTTTTGTTTGTAAGTAGGCTGACATTACTATAAAGCTAAATATTAACTATAATACTGTTTATTCTTTCAGAAGCGAAAAAATGTTTTTCAGTCATTGTAAAACTTCCAACTTCCAAACTAACTACGTTCTTAAATATTTTCAAATAAAATTTTTTTTATAGACTAAATGAAAAATAAATCCATTAGTGTAATTTATCATCATCTATAAGCAATTTTTAATTTTAAGCATTTATTATGAAGATATTAGGAGTACTACAGCTGAGCTCTGTTGTACTCTTAATATCTCAACTGATCATATACTGCCTTTATGTTTATAATAAAATTTTTTGTCAACTGATGGAGAATTATATATACAAACTTTGTTATGCATGTATTAGGTCTGTAATACAAAGCGTACAGATGTGTTAGTGCTTTTCTATGTCACATATATTATAACCATAAACAGTTCAGGAAACTAATTTAAAGTAAATAATTTGATTGTTTTAATTCTCATACGGTTCATTGAAACAATTTAATAAGAGCTGGTTTAAAGTATATTTATTTGAGTTATTAGATCCGCAGCAATATAGTTAATTGTTGCGGATCTTTTAACTTCCCTAAAAAAAATTAATTAAATAAAAAATAGTTTTAAGATAGACAAAATTTTGTTTTGTTGAATTTATTTTGTTTCGGTAGAACAATTGACTGTTTTACAAGTTGATAACTTGCACTTTGTGCTTATAATTCTCAGTAGGTTCATTAAAAATTTTTTGAAAAAATGCTGACTTAGAATGTAGTCGATTAAAATGTTAGACCTTAAACACCGTTATAAATTTTTCTTTTCTAACATCTTCCTTAAAAATTAAATAAACAAATAAAAGTTATAAGAGGCATGTTAATATTTTATTTGATTTCAATAATTCTTATTTTGTTGGCAAGTGACTTTATTCGTATATGCAGCAATTGGGACATTAGATTTACAATAAAGTAGCATAACTAATATCTTTAAAACAGACTTTATTGGGATATTAGATTTATCAAACACTGACCGGATAAATTGCAACAACTAATATCTCTGAGCAAAATAACTCAATTTTCAACATTAATATTATGAAACAGATTTGATTTATGTTATTTAATTTAATTAACTTTTTTTTTTATTCTTTTTCAATGCGGAATATGGGCAAAATAAAAAATTAACTTATCCACAGTATATGATATATATGTTATATATATAATCTATTTATAGATGGTGTTAATTAGGTATATAGGTGGCTGAAGTGTAAGAAAATCGTGTGCTACTCGATTAGCTAAAAAGTCTTTCTAATTCCATATCCCTTAATATATTTAGAAAATGGTGATTTTTGGATCTGAATAAGCCTGAACCTTGAAATATAATTTCTTTTGGTGTTTCTCCTCGAGATCAAGCCAATACAGTTTACAAGAATTTTTATTGGTCATTCTCCATATCTCTCATAAACAAATTAATTAAATTATAATTAAATATAAATATATCTTGTGCATTCAATTCTTAGTTTATAAAATATAACACCTATTTTTTTCACACTTATAGCGTACAAAGATTTACAGTATACATATTATGTATTAACTCTTGTTGTGAATTTGAAATTCCCACCAAATATTAAGTATATTATTATTATCTTTGTTAATAAACTAAATTAATTTATTTCACAGACTGTTGAAAAAATTTTTTATTGCCAATTTGATAAGCATTTTTATTGATTCAACTATTACGTACACTGTAAAGTACTTTCAAATATAATAAATAAAAGCGTTCTTAAAGTGAATGTCTCACGATAAAATACCTACTTCAGTTATCGTGTACTGTTTATCTAGAACGTCATAATTTTAAAAATTATTTTTGTAATAATGGAAAATTAATTTACCTGTGATCTAATTCACGTTTATAACCATGAAAAGCATCTAAATTGATGCCATTAATAATAGACTGGTCCATATCTTGTTCCCCTATAGTTACGGAACGTTCACGACCATTACTATTAACACGATCCATTGCTGCTGTTTGTGTTGGAAGAACGGTTGATCTTAAATTAATTAAAGATTCATTTTCTGGAATGGTTTCAGTTGTGGGGCAAATGGAACAAGTGGTATTCTTGTGTGTTAAGGTATTTGTATTAGAAGAGGCGGCAACTGGATTTAAAATTTCAATAGAATCTGGAGATATTTGTGGCATTGTTTTAATTTTTTTAAATAATTTTAAGAAGTATTTAATATATTTTTTAATACACTTTTATGTAATTTAATTTGTTTATTTTTTATCTTTTTTTTATTTTTTTTTTGCGATAAAAATGCTATGCGTTTTCTTTATTTATAAAGAGACCACCACGATTAAAAGCTATGAGCTGTTCCGATTGCAACGTTTGTTTAACGACCGACCTTTGACGACTGAAACAAGATTTGCTGATTAAAATGAATAACTTTTTGAGACTGTAGATTGCCGACTTTTATCAACTGTTTTTGTTTGTTATCAGTAAACGTCACTTTGCGTTGAAGCTCGCAATTTATAATAAGTGAGATTCTCTTTACAACTAAAGAGTACTCTTAAGTTTTTTTTACTCTTAAACTTGCAATTTAATGCTTTATGATTTAATTTATTTATAAATTTTTTCTTATATTTTTATTAACAACGTGTCACTTTTTCAATGAAATGAAGTTTTAATTATTAAAAATAGTTTCTTAATTTTTCTCACAAGTATTTGTGCTACTAATTAGCAATTCTAATTTGCTGTGTGGAATAATAATTTTAATTGTTCAATAAATCGAAACAAGTAAATTTACTTAGAAAAGCTCTAAACAGTAAACAATCTGTTGTTTCTATAAAGTATTTTGGTGTTTTTTTTTTCTCTGTTTGAGATACAAATATTTATTTCATTGCTATTTTACGGATATGAAGATACTTGCGCTTAGCGTTCAATTGCGTTCAACGTTCGCGTTTCAACTGATCGTGTTTTTGTTTTTGCGTTTAAAAGAATGCTCATATAAATGATATGCAGATACTTTTTTGAGTATTTAAACGGCGTACTACTCATAGATACTTGTTTCTTTTATTTATTATAGTACATATGACGAACTTATCGCATATTCGTATGTATGCATGCATACACAACTATGTATGTAAATGCGTATGAACAGCAGTTTCAACTGACATAATTTTGAATTGATTGTCAGTATTGTTTGTAGACTTTTGTATTAACATAAAGCCCACTGAAAAATAATTTATGCACATTTTATGAAAAAAGAAAAAAATAAAATATTCACAAATGTGACGGAAGTATTTGACGGAAAAAGGGTGGAAATAAAGAGTACGACAAGAACTGGTAGTCTTTTGCGGCAAATTTTTGAATTTGGTTAAGTTTCACTAAAAAAAACTCCTACATAATTTATTTAAATAAAAATTTTGATATTAAAATAGCAATTTATTTATATATGAATTTTAATATAAAATATTTAAATAGCATTGTTATTGCTTCAATATAGTAAAATAAATATACAATTTTTATATATAGACTGGCGGCCAAATTTAATAGCAAATCAATGAAATCCACCTGTAAACATAAAAACGAATAATTTTTTGCTCTTCACCTCTGTTGTGAATAATATTTATATTAGTTTTATCACTAATTTTACATTTTGCACTGCGACCTCTGCTCTCTAAGCTCTGTTGCATCAATAAAAAGTAGT